CCTCGCCTCATTCATTACTCTTCTAAAAAAATAATCTACTTTTTGGCCCGTGCAATCCATGTTTTCCCTTTACCGTTTTTCGATGCTCAGGCCTTGCCAAATCCACATGCATGCATCTTCCCCGGGTCCTTTCGCCCTACTCTCCTCAGGTCCTGCCAATTTTGCATTCATATCACTCTTTGTCCTTTCTTGTTCCTTGCTTATTTTTAACTTTTTTTATGCATGCTGCCCAGTTCATCCCTTGTGCATCTCTCTTTCAGACACCTTGTCAGACCTGTTTCCAAATACTCTTTTGTTTCCCAGCCTGTCAGTCTTTCTCTCATATCCATACATAGTCCATCATACGAGTCTTTTCTTTTCCAGACGTCTTACTTGACCCATTTTCAAGCTTATGCCAAATCAATCACACAAGTCGCTTGCCAGGCCTTTTCTCAAGCTCATGCAACGTCAATTTCTCACCTATTTCTCTTCTGGACATCTTGCCAGACTTTTTTTCAAGCCTGCGCAAAGTCAATTACTCATCCATTTTTCTCTTCTGGACATTTTGCCAGGCCTTTTTCTCAAGCTCATGCTACGTTAATTACTCATTCATTCTTTTCTTCTGGACATCTTGCCAAATTTTTTCTCAAGTCTACGCAAAGTCAACTACTCATCCATTCTTACGCTCATGGTACCCTTCTCTTTTGCATGCCTTTTCTTTGGTAGATGGCACACCTTCCCCCCACTCAAAATGCGATGTTCCCATCGCACGACTGGTTCTCACTCGGAGGTACGCAGATCTTAGCCCACCAACGAGTAGGCGGATGCCGGCCCATCAGCCCCAAAAAAGGAAGGGTGATCAGTTCTCCCCCTGCTGATAACTCACCTCATCCCCTACTCTGTCCGACCTTTTGCCGCTTACGAGACGAGCGTCATCACTGAGGTACCTCCTCATATCTGGCAGACAGGTCCAATCCAAAACCTCCCAGGACCTGTCTTGTCGCAAGGGCGTTCTCGCGAATCGTTCCTCCCGGGTGGTGTTTTCTTGGATCCGGCCTCTTCCTTTGAAGAGAGTTGGGGCTCTCAATTAGTCCACGAGTGCAGTTACGAAGACCTCGCAATTAGTCCCGAAGCGGTTGTAATGCTCCGGTGGGGCGGTGTCACTCGCCCCGTGGTGGTTGTGGCTTCCACCAGGTACCACGCCCAACTCCTCCCTTTTGGACGGTGCTGCTCAACTTAACGCGAGCCGCCGTGGTCCATTCCAAGCGGTCATGCCGCCCCTCAACGACATGGCGTGTGGCTGGAGAGAACAAAATAGACTAGAAAAAAAAAATGGCTCTCTCGCTCATTTGGTTCCCTCACCCTTTGACGTTTAGGCGTTCAACACGAGGCGCAATTTGAAGTTCCCGACTAGAGCTCGTTGTCGGGGTCAGTTTCGGACGTCTCGCACCAATCCAAGTGGTAGGTGCCTTGGTCCTTTAACCTGCATCCCCTTACAAGAGGAACATGTCGCGCTGAGACTTTTTCCCTTACAGGGATAGAGGTCTTGGGGTTGCGGTGCGAGCACCGGTATCCCCCTCCTGCTGAGGCCAAAGACTAGAAAAAAAGAAAATTCATTTCAATGCTATTTCCGAGTCCATTTCAAGCTGTCCAGGGCCCCCTGCCTATGCAATGCAATATTCAATCCTCAATCATTCAATCAAATGCTACTTCCAAGGCTGATTCTCATGGCTGGTCTGACAGTCTCTTATCAACAAGGCCATCGTCACGGCCGGTCTGACGGTCATTCTCTCAATAGCCATTTCTCAAGACTGACCCTTCCGCCCACTCAATCCTCAATTTTCTCATTCCTCAACACCCAATTTTTGTGACCGTTCCAACGGTCCCTGCTCTTCTCGGCTTTTAAGGCTCCGCCTTTTTTATCTTGTCATTCTCTTTCGCATTTTCCTTCCGCCCCCTTGGCAATTTTCAGTGGCCGACCTACCGGCCTTTTCCATTTCCTCCATTCAACTCATTGGCTATTTCAACGACCGACCCACCGGTCTTTTCCACCTCTCTCATCCATATTTTCAATGACCGACCCACCGGCCTTTTCCATTTCTCTCATCCCATTGGCTATCTCAATGACCGTCCCACCGGTCTTTCCCATCTCTTTATCCTTTGGCTATTTTCAATGACCAACCCATCGGCCTTTTCCAACTCTCTCATTCCAGCACATTCTCAATCAGCCTTTCTCAATCCAATATGCAGGGGACCTCAGTGCCTATTTCAAAAGGAATGACCCTTGTCAGGGGCCATTCCCGAACAACCTGGTTAGGGTCGTTCTTATCCATTCTCAAGTCGAACAACCTGGTTAGGGCCATTCTTTTTCATTCTTAAGTCGAACAACCTGGTTAGGGTCATTCCTTTCCATTCTCAAGTCGAACAGCCTGGTTAGGGTCATTCTTTTCCATTCTCAATGTTAGTGCCCGAGGGGGTGGGCCTCGAGGTTACGGATCCCATTTCTGTCCTGGAGGTTAGAAGGTGGCCATCTCATCTTTTGCGTGCTATTCTCTTCCTTCCATTTCTCACATTAATGTACCATCCATTCCATTTCTCACAGTAATGTACCATTCATTTCATTTCTCACAGTAACATACCATCCATTCCATTTCTCACAGTAACGTACCATCCATTCCATTTCTCACAGTAACATACCATCCATTGTGTACACTCGAATTAGCATCTAGCACTCGAGTTGGGGCTCGCGACCCCAAGCAGCACTAGCCCACCCGGCCGTTCATCCATAACAAAAGACAAAAACGCCCCTTCCATTTTCACTCTTCCTAATCTCTCAGGTTTCGCTTATTCTCAGTCTTATTCATGACTCAGTTGGATTAGGCTCCTAGGGAAGGAGTGTTCTTCACGCCCCTTAACCCATAGGTTCCTAACCTCTCTTGTACTCGACCAGTCATTAAATGCCATGGTTTGCTCGTCAATCCGTACTCAAGGTTTTCCTCTCCCAAAAGCATAATCCTTGTTCCATCCAAAATTCACAATACGCCCTCTCCCAATTGGTCTTATCCCAAATCCCATGTCTTTGTCTTAGGTACCCAAGGTAGCTCATCCAAAGGTAACCTCAACAACTATCTTCTACTTTAGCGTGACACAGCCTTAGCTGGCCCTCTTTTCACTTCCTCCTTAGCAAGCTTGCGCATATTATACACGTTCTCGTCATTCTCATATCTCTGCAGACAGAAAGCAACGATCCTTTTCAATGCTAAGCCAACACCTAGTTCCTATTACTGCCTTGCGCCTCGTCTCGCCTAGTTCCTTGTCCACTCCGTTCCTCGGCAGGCTTCCTAACCCCCAGGCCGTAGGTCTCGATCTATTTTTTCATCCTTACAATTTTATGCAACTCAGCCTCGTTAAAAAAATTCAGCGATGCGAGTGCCCGAGTCTTGATAATCCATTCGTGCCTGATTACATTGGTCCATTGCTGAAACCAGTGACTGGGCGTTGGTCCGAACTCGTCCTCCCATCTGAAAGCCCCATCGCCTGGTTGATGCATCGGAGACCGCCCCTCTTCCCTAGGCCGTGAGATTTCATCCCTCTCATCCCCGCTGCTGATTTCTATGACTTCTCGCACATCCTCCTCCTTGTCCCCCTCGTCTTCAGTCTGTATGGGGCTATACCCACCAGCAAGGTTCTTTGGATCGTAGGTAAAAGGGATCTCTGTCCCTATCTCATACCCCTCGCAACTGCCGTGACCGCTTCGTCCTTCAAGCGGACTCTCCCTTTTCTCCTCGTCCTCCTCACGTTCGTCACGCATACCTTGTCCCCCCTCGCTTTCCCCATGCCAAGTCTCACGTCGTTCGCCCCTATTGGCTCCTTCCTCGTTAGAAACCCGAGCCTTATCTCCCATTTCTGTGTTGCCTCCTTCTTCCACATTTACCCTTCTCTTTTCGCCCTCACTGTCAGATGATATTTCTATACCTTCTCCCTTGCGGAGGGGTGAGGGTTTCCTACACAAACATTTCCTTCCACCCCTGCCTACCACTGGCCCGCCCATGAGCCCAATGTACAATTTTCTCTTCGCTGTCCTCCTCACTTGGCTTGGGCCAGCTTCTTCCCCTCCGGTAGGCCTGTTGATTGCCCCGCTGTCGTTCTCGTTGCCGAATTCCATTTTTGTCTTTTCTCGTTTTACTTTTAAGCCCTGTATAACAAAACAACACCCGCAATGTCCCTCATACACTTACGCCTCCCCCCCTTAGGCCGGTAGACATTCCCAAAATGGACCCAGTATCCCTCGCATCACGCCCTTTTTATACATGCGAATGCGTCGTTTGTGATGACCCCATATTTTCCCCGTCAAAAACTATGGTACAATGCCCCAAACATCCCATCCCGTTATCACACAAGCCGGATATTGCAGACCCCCAAGTCATGCTACCTTTCAACCTCGGTCAGTCCAAGCCAAAGCATCAGTCCCAAAAAATGACAGTCTTACAAACATGGTCAGAGACAAACCATAGTGTGGGCAAGGCTGTGGTTAGTCTTTAGCTTGTGGCTCCTCTATTTCCTTATTTTCGGCCTCCTGAAGCCATTGTTCCACTGGGTCCCGACTTAGAAACCTGACCAGTCGTTACCCCGGGAAGGGCCCTTTCAATCCAGTTCCATCCAAATCTTCCAGTTCGAAGATGTTTAGTCTCACCCGTTTGGCGACCCGGTAGGGGCCTTTGAACCTCCTTCCCAACTGTCCCGACCAAGTACTTTCTAGTGCCGAGTTCCTTAGCAATACTATCTCCCCCACCTGAAGTGGCTCCTTTCTGACATTCTTAACCTGGTCCCACCTTGCTTTGTACCTCATTCTGCTATCCAGCACCCGGCAAGCGATGTCTTTCACGACCTCCTCATTCTTAAGGATCTGTTGACATCTTGCCTCGATTAACTCTTCAGTGGTCATTTGCGGATCATCATCTAACATATTCCAGGTAGGTACCAAGGCTTCCACAGGAAAGTCGATCTCTCTTCCGTACCAAAGCTCTGCCAGGATACATCCTGTTATCCTTTTACGAGTCATATTCTCTGCAAAGACAGTCTGCTTAAGATACCTAGGTCAGTTCCCCAGATGGTCTGCTGCGAGCTTTGCAATCGTGTTCTTCAAGGTTCGGTGCCCCCTTTCCACCGGTGCATTGGCCTCAGGGTGATACGGCTCGATGAGTTTGATCGGTACGCAGAGTCTCTTAAGCATCCCCAATACTTCTTGGTTCACAAATTCCGTCCCATTGTTTACTATAAACCTCCTGATGAACGGGTGCCTTAAGTAGAAGTCTTCTATCCAGTTCGCCACACTCCTCCCTGTCTTTTTCTTGAGGGCGACTGCCGCCACGAACCCACTCAAGTTGTCTCGCGCATCCAGGATATACCTGTACCCATCCGTTGATACAGGCATAACCGCAAGGTCGAGGTGGACCAGATGTCCCGGCCCTAGCACCCGCATTGGTCTAAGCGGCTCGAAGACTCGTACCGAGCTTCGTTCTTGGCAAATGAGGCAAGTCTGGCAGTATATGGCGACCATGCCTGCCATGCCTGGCCAATAATAGAGCGGTGTTATCTTTGCAAGTGTTCCTTTGGAAGACCAATGACCTCCAGTTAACCCGTCGTGCATTGCCTGGATAACATTTACTTGCCTAGACCTTCCGCACACAACCCTTCTAGGCATAGCACCTTCCTCCCTCCGGAACAAATGCCCGCCCCTTAGGACGGACCTTTCGGCTTCTTCTCTTGCCTTAATACTGACTTCCGTAGGTTGTTTGTTTCCTACCAACAACAACCCGATCTCCCGAAAGAGTCCTTCGTATGATTGGATATAGAAAAACTCCTCTCCTCCCTTGCCCCCATCCTTTCCTTCCTGAATCGGATTTACCACCCGTTGCAACACTTTCCTTTCCCAAGATTCCACTAAACGCATCACTGCCTCCCGGCCCCCTTCGACCGCCATCGCTATCAGATCCTCTTTCGGTCCTACTATCGCTCCCCATGAGTCATTTTCTTCTCTGCGTCCTCGAGTGGTAACTGGTCCTTCTCTAAGTTCTGCTACTACGGCAGGTGCCCCTTTCTCCAAAGTTTGGATTCGTAGTTCTCCTGATGTGCATTCTCCGCTCATCATCTCGTTGTCCACCGCAAGAGTTCCTCCTTCGTATTCGAGGAAGACGTTTATGGGCTCTGCATCCTCCATCCCTTCGGGAGTGATGCAAACCCGACTCAGCCCATCTGCCTTGTTGCGGATTCCAGCAATCCGTTCGATCTTGTAATCGAACTGCCAGATGAATCCTACCCATCTCCCTACCATCGGATCTATAGGCATGTAATTCTTTAGGGCCCCTGGGATATTCGTCGGGTCGATCCTTAAGATGAACCGCCTCCCAAATAGGTAGGCCTGGAAGGTCTTTAGGCAATGCAGGATGACTAGGACTTCCTTCTTGAATTGCGAGTACCGCCGTTCTGCGGAGTTCAGGGTTCTACTTTCGAACCTAATCGGCCTCTCTTTTCCTCCCTCATCCCTTTGGATCAACACACCTCCTACGACTAAAAGTCCTCCATCCGTCTCCATGATGAAGGGTCGTCCCACTTCGTCATTAAAACAAGGCGCGGACAGGGCGACTGTCTCAGATGTCAAAATGTCCTTGAGCCTTTGGACAGCTTCTTCTCGCTCCTCTGTCCAATCCATGGTTCCTTCTTCCCTGATCATAGTCGGGATAGGCTCAGCAATCTTGGCAAAGTTCTTAATGAAGATCCTCCAAAAGCCGACTACGCCTAGGAATGCCCTTACCTCCGTTGTCGTGCGCAACGGTGTCGGCCATTGTGATATCTTGTCGATTTTGGCCGGATCCAGCTTCCTGCCGTAAGCACCGCAACGAAATCCTAATATAATTACCTCAGGTACAGCTAGAATACTTTTCGGTCCACTAGCCGTGATGTTGTATACTAGGAACCGGCGGAGTAGATCCTTGATGTCCTGCAGGTAGTCCCACACAAAACGTCGGATCCCTGGCTGGACTTCCGTCTCGTCCTTCTCCTGCGCGCCTTTGATCGGATTGTCATCGATGTAAGGTTCATTTTTTTCTGGAAACATGTCCTCGGCCACAACGAGCATCCTGCGTTGCGCTTCGGCCACCGCATTTGTGAATCCCATAGGTGTCACTTACATCTGTGGCTGGCCTACAGAGGTGTGCATAGCGGTGTATGGGCTGTCCCAAACATCCAATGGAAGCTGGTCGTACCCTGAGTATAGATCTATCAGGGAGTAAATGCTCCGACCGGCATGCGATTCTGCTAATAAGTCAGCCTGAGGTAGCGAGCCATCATCCCGGATGGTTACCACATTCAACTTCTGCAGGTCCTGAATCCACCTTAGCGTCTTGTTAGGCTTCCGAAAGACGAACCACCGATTTGCGTATGGGGATGCCGTAGGCTCCGCAAGGAAGGAGTCTATCTTCGCTCGGAGGAGGTCTGTTACTTCTCCTGCTATCCCAAATTCATAGGATGGCCCCTTATCATTCCAGCATTCATGTTCTACCGTATGGATTCTGACCGGAGGGATCAACTTCGCATCCAGTCGTCCCTTCTGATGATCACTAAAGGCGAATGTCAGGTGAAACTCCTGGCAGGTCCTTTTGATCAGGCGGGTTTCTTTTTCCGTTAAAAACCCGTCTATCCCTATCTTCATTGTGTCTGCTACCTCATCTGGTATCCGATGTCCCTCCGTCGCCCTTCTCTCTTGGATCACTCGAAGGACCTCTTCCTCCTTTTCCATAGCCTCTTCCCTGGATGTCTCTAGCAGGATCGAGACCGATTTTGCTTTCTTCCCTACCGGCTTGTACTTTCGAACACTTCCTTCCGAGATCTTTCTCCTAAAAAATGAATAGTCGGAATTGCCCCCGTCGCCTCTACGACTCGTGGTTGAATACTAACTAGTTTCCCATTCAGGCAATATCCCTTTTGCACCTCTCTTTCGAACTTGGCCAAGGCTGCCGAATCCACTCCTACCTTGTGATATCTGAGGGCCTTGATGAGTTGCAATAGATCGGGGATCTCGAGTGCGATTTCTGGCACTTCTATTAGTACTTCTTTCCGTTTGGGCAGGCTAGCACCAAGTTCGACCTCTGACTCCTTTTCCGCTACCATAACACCCAGGACTTCGTCCTCCTGCCTCCTCTTCTTCTGGGGCAGGCCAATCTTGATCCACTCCTTTTTGTTGAATGTTTTCTCAATCATGATTTCTACCCTTTCTCTCATACCCTCCATCCGTGCGAAAGCCCCTTTCCGCGTGCTATCCTCGAACGACGGCGACCATGTTGCTTGTTTCCCCTTCGGGGGGTCTCCTCCCGTTCCAAGGAGTCGAAGGATCTCTCCCCGGCCGGTCACAGGGTCCTTTATGTCTACCATGTACGAGTCATCGTGTAAGTGCATGCCTATCATTTCTACGTTCGCGCGCCACGGTCTCCCGATGATTATGTCGTGGTCCATTTCCTCCATTACGGTCATCCGCTGAAACGACCAGATCGATTCTCTGACCCCTGCCTTCACAGCACACTTCGTGACGTACCCAGCGAACGGGATTTCCCCGCCAGCTCCCCGGATGCTCCCTGTTACTTCCTTGTTTATCGTACATCCCGTGATCGTTGAGAAATATCTCCTTATGAGAGTGATTTCTGCTCCCCCGTCTACTAATGCGTCGGTGTGATGACTACCGATCTGGATTTTCAATTTCCCTACGGGTAGCGCATGAAAGCTAAGCTTCGTCCCGGATGGCGAGCAAGCTCAAACGGATGTCTGCAAAGGCATTCTCGAGATCCTCCAAGTCCCCGCGACTCCTCTGCAGGTTAGCCACTTCTCGCGGAACTTCCTCCTCCCTCTCCCCTTCTGGTAATTCGGGGTTGTCGCCTATTTCTACTCGCCACCGGGTCAACAGTTGTCTAAGCCCTTTGAGCAACTTAGGGCTAGCCTGCAGCATAGTCTGAAAAGACACCGACACCATGGTTCCGAGTAACTTGCTAATGGTGTCGTCGATTTCTGGCAAGGATAAGATCGAGATTTGGTACCTAAACTTCTTCTTGGCAGCGGTAACTTTGTCGGCAGGCTCCTCTTCCCTAGGTTTCCCATAGACCTTTTCCGGTTCCTCGGCCTCAGGCTCTGCCTGGGGTTCCGAACTTCCAGCAACCTCCTCCATCACGATGTCGTGGTTAATCCTTCTCCCAGCCGTCCCTAGCCGAGTAGTCTCGTTCACCCTATCACGTCCGTCGTTTTCCAAAATAAAATTGACCTGCGGCCTGCTCCCCTGGCGTTGATCCCATATGATCTCGCCCACCGGTTCGGCTTCTACGGCTGTTATTTCTAGCCCGTTGAGCATAATAATGGTTCCCCGCATCCCTCCTGGCGAGTTCCAATTCACCCGTTCCCCTTGTGGTCCAAATATCTCCCCCTTTAATGACCTGGTACACCTTATTTTCAGAATATCATGGTTGAGCTTTGGGCACACGCGCACATAATGTCCTATTGCGGTACAGTACTTGCATTGCTCGTTAGCGGGGTCTCTCCGTCCGAACCCACGATTGGCCGCTCCTGGCGGAACTACTGCTTCCTGGGGCGGGAGGGGGGACGGGATACTTGCGCCTGCATAACTAGTAGCGCGCTCTCCATACTTTCAATCTTGTTGTCGACTCCGTGCACCCGTTCGTGTAGGCTTTCAATCCCCTTTTTCTCCTTGTCGCCCGTCCTACTGGTCAAGTCTATAATCTCCCCTTCCTTAAGCAAGGCCAATGTCTCGGTCACTACCGTCTTTTCGGCCAGATCCGTTACCGTACTGAAATCAACGTCCCTGGTGTTTACAAATTTGCTCGTCTGTTGGTAAGCCGACAGGATCTTGCCCTTGTCGAACTCGGAGAACTGTCTGAGGAAATACTTACTCATTATTCGATCCGTAATCCCGAGGATTCTTAGTGCTACCAAAGTAAACTCCCGTAGGAAATCATTGTACGTTGCGAAGTTCTTTCTCTGGACTGCCGCTAAATCGCTCTCCATTGCCATCTTTTCTGCTGCCAGATACTTTCTCATCATCACATCCCGGGTTTCTTTCCAAGACCGGCTTGCGGCTACGATGGTCATTATGTCATGTCCTAGGCTCAAAGACACATGCTGTCCCAGGTGGTCCATCTTCTCCTCTTCGGTCTATTTCAACAGCGCAACCAAGTTCTCGTAATCTATCAGGAATTGCGTGATGTTCGCCCCATCAAACATCAACTTTTTCTTGGCATCCGCTAGGTAGCCTTGATTTTTGTTTAGTCCTCGCGCGAGGGACGACACTGTCTTCTTAAGGTCGCCCTCGGAGTTGCTGGCCTCGCCTGTCACACTGTTATCCGGACCTTCTTTATCGGCCTTCTGTCCCTCCCTGGTTTTCGTAGTTCCTTCTGGGTCAAACCATCCCAACACTCTTTCCCTAAGGCTCCAGAGTCCTTCGCACCCTCGCGTCACTGCTGGCGTGGTCGGCAGGCGGCTAGCCCTACTATCTATGGCTGGCGGGGTCGTAGCCTTTTCCGCGTCCATCCCCGGAGAGTTCTCCCCTTCTTTCCTTCTTTTGCTCGGCGTTCCCCCACGGTCACTACCTTTATCCCCTTGTCCAGTCCCACCTCGGTCGGTTCTCCGTTCGTCTCGGGGTTCCTTCTGCAGAGAACCTTCTTCGTTCCCAGTCATGATTTCCTCAATCAATCTCGCCTTGTATTCCGCGGTCTTTTTGTCTATCTCGGCTAGTCTGCGCCTCGTATCCATGACTCTTACTTTCTTAGACACGGCTCCTTCCGAGTTCTCGGGGCTTGTCCTATCCTTATTCCTGCCTTCCTTGGTCCCCTGAGTTCCCTGCCTGCTTCCCCCAACTTTCCCCGAGCTTTCCCCTGTGGAGATCTTCTTCCGGTTTCCTTTGGTACCATCCGGATTTATCGATTTGCTGTCCTTCTGCCCCCCTTCGCTTTGTGCGGCACTGCCTCCTAAGCCCGGTTCTTCTTCAATCTTATGATTATCTGTCTCCTCCTCCGTTGCCATTTTGCCTAGTTCTGCATAGGCCAAAGAATTCCCTGGACACACGCAATGCGAGGTATTTTAGGTTTCCTAGGCTCCCATCCCTGTTGGCTTATCTGTATAGCCTCCTTTCCCATCCTTGTTTCTTGATTGCCCTTCCTTAAGGAGGAGTCACGACTGGCCCTGCCGCTCAGCCGAGATATGAGCGTGACTTGGCTTCCTTTATCACAAGCCTGTTTGTAGCGCCCTTGTCCCGTCGGGCCGATGCGAGGGAGTTCGGGTTAGGCATTCTGCTAGGGAAAGTCTTTCCAAGCAGTGTTTCTTATTTTTGACCTTCAGGGTTGTGGTCAATCATTAGGAGTCTACTCCCTTTTTTGTTTTCCTAATGGGTTTTAGCCATCCGGGTCCGAGGCCCCTTTCTTATTCCCATCGGCGGATTTCCGTACACAGCGAACTATACTGGATATGCCCTATTGGCCTGCCTGCGGATCCTAATCTTGCTCGCGCCCTCGTGGTTCTTCCGGTTCGGTCGGCTTCTCGAATAGCTCAACCACCCCTGCCAAATAGCTCTCTCCTATCTCGATTTCCCTTTGGATTATGCGTTCGTGCCCTGTCTGGTTTAGCCAGGGCGCACAAAATATCAGGATATGGATGACCTCCAGTAACTCGTGGGCCCTGTTTCCCCAGAATGGCCCATGCCTCACGGCGACATCATAGAACATCCCGATGGTTAGAGAGGGAAAGTGGTCTGCCCATATTATTGCCGAGTCTGCCAGCTCTCGCGCCCTTGCGAGGCTCCCGAAGACGAGATCTATCATAAAACGGGTGACCCGGCACCTCAGCGGCATGGTTGGTGCTCTGAATTCACGCCATCCCCCAATTTCCACCCGGGTAAGTAAGCCCACGTTCCTTTACCCCTGACTGATTGTCCTATCCGGGTCAACGTCCGGGCGACCCTTTGAAAAACCAGCGCCAGCTCGTGACCTTGTGCTATCTCTACCCCCAACGAGTGCCAGCCGATCTCAGGCGGATACTTGGTCCCGGTAACTTCCAGATTGGAAAACAGATCGTCCCCGGGTCCTCGGTCGAGTCTCATCCCTGTTCACCGACATTCTACCAACATGAAGGCGGCGTCCCTCCCCAAAGTCACAGCCCGCCATTCTATATCGATCCCCCGATAAGTTGAACTCGACGGGAGGGATACTTCCCAGCGTCCACCGTTATTCCACGGTGATCCGGGGTACCGGGGTTGGCGCGCCATTCGCACATGGGCCTGAAGTTCCATATGCTCACGTCTTGCTGCCATGGTTACCTTGGTGATTTCCTGCATGATCCACATAGAAAGTGTTACAACCAATCCTTAGAAACCGTCCACCTACTGCCCCCTTGCCCTTCGTGTTTTCATTCCTCTTTTCTAGTCCCAACTATCCCTCCATACCCCCGGGAGCAGTAGTCTCCTTTGGGTGTTTGTACAGTCGGTAGAGATCATCTATGTAGGTCGCGCCCCGACCTACCTCTCGCCGGATGACCCCCCCACATGGTCTCATCATTTATTTGGGGGATTCCCGGCCTAGTATTTACCACTGCTCGTAGAATGCAAAGCACCTCGCGCCCCTGTTCGTCCCCGAAAGGCCCCATCTCTAGAAAGACTCGGTAGTATTCTCGATAGATTAATGCTTCGCCAAAATTTAGCCTCGTTATGGCAGTCACCGCCTGCTCCACCCGTTCTATGCCGCCCATTTGTCTTAGCAGGAAGGGCGGTAGAATCATCTGTACGACCTCACTTGGTAACTCAAAGAACCCTGCCGCGGTGACTTTTACCTCCGTCGTTACGTCATCTCGTACCGGGTCTGCAAACTCAAACCCCTCCCGCCAGGTTATTTGCCATGCCCCTTCGAACATTCGCACGGGGTCATCCCCGGAAGCCAAAGCAATCCCAAAGGTCCGCCATCCCTCTTTCGACAAGTGTAAGGATCCCGTCACATGTACACGCCCCGGGCGATTCAAGTCTACCCCCCCGAACTCCCCTTTCACACGCCATTCCAGCTCCACTACTAGATACACCGTATCTTCCACCAACTCTACCCCCACCATTTTCCAGTTGCTGTCACTTCCCCCTTGTTTCGATCTTTATGCACCATCTACGGCCTAATGTACACACTCTCTTTCTTATGTTACACCTTACTTCACAAGCACCCTCCATACTCAAGCCTTTCGCTGTGTTCGACCCCTTGGCCTCATTCACTCGAACCACAGTACCTCAAATAGTTTAGAAACGTCGTCTACGTAGGAGGGTGCAGCCGCCACCTCCCGGCTAACTATGGCGTCCCAATACTCCGCCTCTACCTCTAGGCGGTCATACCTGTCTATTCTTAGGACGATGATGACTTCCTCGGCGTTATCCCCGTTGAAGGGCTCATATTTCAATGAGAGCCTATAGAACTCCTTAGTCAACCAGGCACACTCTATATGCACCTTTCTCATGGAGTCCGCTACTTCTAAAATGTGCTCAAACCCCCAAAACCACTCGGCTATGAATTCCGGTACCCAAGCCGTTATCCGTAGACTTGGGGGCTTGAGTTCCTTCCATCCTCCCATCACAACTCTGCTACTAACTTCGTTTCATCCCTCGTTGGCGAACAGCTTGCCTTCCTCTCGGGTTCGGGCCTCTGTATCCCCTAGAAGCCACATCGGGTCCTGTCCCATTGCTAACATGGTGCAAAACAGGTGCCATCCATCCTTGGAAAGGACAATCGTTTCAACTGACTCTACCTTGCCTTCTGCTATATCATCTCAACCTTCCTCTTCCCTTATCGGGTTCCAAATCCGCTCTATCCATACATATGACAAGTCCCGGGCAACCTCAAACCCAATCCAGTCGCACGTGATCCCTCTCCATCCGTTCCCTGTTGGTATAGGCATTTCTATTCCTCCTCTGAGTCGCCGTGGTTCCCAGCCTTTGAAGGGGTATTCCATCATCCTTTCTTCTCTAGTCATCTTTCCCCTTTCCTGCACAATACCAGACCACCCGTTCTCCCTAAGTTAAGTCACCCTACCCCTTTTAGAAGTCTCAGTCCTCTATCTCTTCATCTTCATCTTCATCACTAAAGTCGTCCTCCTCGCCGTACACCAACTCCCTTACCCTATCTAGGAACGTCTCCCCTATTGCCACATTCCTGTAGACT